AACCTAACACTGACATAAATAATTCTTCATGAATAATTTAACACAAATTCCTTAAAACACCTAACAGAGTTGAAGTAAACCATTTATGTAATTAGCAAAATTACAACTCAATTAGCTGATCTTTATGTACAACAGTTAACTACAAATCTCCAAAGTGTAAATGGAAATTGTCTTATATAGCTTACTCCCCACTAACACACTTGATGTACACTGGTCATCAAGAATAAATGCCAAGTTATAAAATTCCTTTATATATTCATAAGATACTCCGTACCACTGAAAGAGGTAAACAGCCTCATTATAATATTCTAAAAAACACAAATCCTACATGGTAATTTCTCTATAGAAATACAGATTAAGGGACGCCTGGGTGGCTCAGTTGGTTAAGCAGCTGCCTTCGGCTCAGGTCATGATCCCAGCGTTCTGGGATCGAGTCCCACATCAGGCTCCTTGTTCTGTGGGGAGCCTGCTTCTCCCTCTGCCTCTGCCTGCCACTCTGCCTGTGCTCTCTCTATCTTTCTGACAAATAAATAAATAAAAATTTAAAAAAAAAAAAAAAAAGAAATACAGATTAAAATATGAAGAAAATACCAAAGAAGGATGGCACTAATTTTCAAGTTATATCTTGAAATTTAAACACATCTATTATAAAGAAAAACATTTACTATTATCATTCTAATGAACAATCATTATTTAAAGTTCTGTACTAGTAACCATTTCATTTGTAAAGCAAAATTAATCTCGTATTTTGTTTCAGTAATATGAAAACACATTATTATGTAAATAAGTTCATTAAAACAACTTAAACCATAATTTCCTGTTTCAGTGTATGTTGACATTATGCATATAAAAGGCAGGAAGATAAATTTGCTTGGGAATATGTTAAAATGCAAAACAAGAAAAAAAGCTCTATACTAACGGGCAACATTCTGCTGCTCCTTTCCACAGTGCTTTAATAGGCAGACTAAAGGCTTTGTCTATACTGCTAAGCAGTTAATATCTCACATAAACTTAAACCTGTATCCACATCTCTGAGGCCAGGAGTACATTCACGCATCGTTGCTCTAGCAAGAAGCTCCTGAATTTCTAAGATCTTTTTATTTTTATAAAATACAAGAGGGTAAGGAGTTGGAACAAAATTCATCTTTTGAAATACCTTAGCTATTGGGGCGCCTGGGTGGCTCAATGGGTTAAAGCCTCTGCTTTAGGCTCAGGTCATGATCCCAGGGTTCTGGGATCGAGCCCCACATAGGGCTCTCTGCTCAGCAGGGAGCCTGCTTTCCTTCCTCTCTCTCTGCCTGCCTCTCTGCCTACTTGTGATCTGTCTGTCAAATAAATAAATAAAATCTTAAAAAAAAAAAAAAAGAAATACCTTAGCTATAGGTTTAAATTTCATTATTTCTAACTTGATTCAAGTTGCTGAAAGTTAAGATAAATATGTTAAAAGATGTATGTATGAAGGAAATGCTTTTCCCTTTACAGAAAATTCTCCCGATGTGTTCCTCTGGGCCTCAGAGTATCTTTTCCTAAGGTCCATGCCAATCACTACCTGAAAAATAGTAATATAAAAATGTGGAAAAAGATAAATAATTTTCTAAATAAATAATCTCTCTCTAATCTGAACTTTAAAATAAATGTTCCTGTCAGAAGAACTGGTTTATGCTGAATTAACAGTGACATGTTAATCCTATTCTTCTTCTGACTAGTGAGACCATTAAAAGGAGAATTAAGATAATCTAATTTTAGAAACAAAAATCTAGTATGAATCCTTATAATCATTTAATAAAACACTTCCTGAGGACCAGCTACATACAAGTTGTCAAGATAAAAATAGCTTCAAAGAAACTCCATTATGTCTAAGGATTTGACTAAAGTGGGATATATAAAATATTGAAGAATTATTGTACTAAAAAGTGCATAGATACGTAAATGGACTAACTACATGTTAATAAATATGTGAAGGGAAGTAGGGACACTTCCAATGTAATTACGTAATGCATCTCAGCAGGATGGCAAAATCAGGTGAGATATGAAGGATGGGTACAATTTTATAGATAGATATAGAGGACATTTCAGGAATGGAAGCAGGAAAAAGGCATATATTTAGGAAACAAACAATGGCACAAATAGGCTAACACTGAGTTTGTTTGCAAAGTAGAAGAGTTAACAGGTTGAAAAGTAAAATTACAATGGGAAAGGTACTTGGGATTGTAAACTGGTAACTTGGGTCCATACATATTATAATAACTTATGTTTTAGGAATATTCACCTAGTATCCTAAAATATTCAGCTATGAAGTCTACTGCCTCACATGTAGTCAGTAAACAATAGGTCACATCCATTGTCAGTTACTGTTACTGGCACAAACTTTGGGAGCTTATTACTCCAGTAAACTACATGTAAGAAGATTAGATGATTTAGAAAAGCAATAGACAATAGAGATAACTTTAAGAAAGGCAGCAGCTTTCATGTAAGGACTATTCTGAGTTGAAGGCAGTTGAGGAGAAGATAAAAGAAAGATTTCTGGCCTCCCCAATCTGCCTAAAAGCAGCATATAAAATTACAAAGGTGTCCCTCCTCCCCTTCTACCAGGAAGGAGAAAGGTAAATTCCTATAGACAACTTTAGACCTTTATCAAGAAATGTGGGGGAGTGGGGAGAAGGCACCTTGTAACTTAATTCTGCACAATAAATCTGACTTTTACTTACCTTGCTTTTCCTGGTCACCTCTGAGTATTACTGATTTTTCCCTGAGTAACTCCCATGTATAAAGGAAGTATACTTCTTTTTTTTTTTTTTTTTTAAAGATTTTATTTATTTATTTGACAGAGAGAAATCACAAGTAGGCAGAGAGAGAGGAGGAAGCAGGCTCCCTGCTGAGCAGAAAGCCCGATGTGGGGCTCGAACCCAGGACCTGGGATCATGACCTGAGCCGAAGGCAGCGGCTTGACCCACTGAGCCACCCAGGCGCCCCAAGGAAGTATACTTCTTAATAAATGTCTGTTTTTCTCTTATAATTCCGTATTTTGTTATAATGGTCCTAGCCAAAAACTCAGAAGAGTAGAGGAAAAACTATTTTTTTCTTCCCCTATACAAGTTAACACATTTCATAAGAATGTTGGTTAATTTTCCATATACTTTAACAAATCAAATAAAAAGCAATGCTTAATGCTTTTCAACCTAAGGAATATACTCTTAAAAGACAGTAATAACAAATTTATAAGATTTCCTAAATTTACACTTTGAACTAGTAGGAACATCCAGTCTTTGCATTAGGACTTTATGTAATAGGAACAGATCAGTGACAAAAACTGGTAATGGTAAGTACCTGACGGCAGGACTTTTTATGTCTTACTGGTGTCGTGGTAAAAGGCAGACAAATACAAATAATACAAAATAAGTAGATTTGATAGCATGTTAGATGATTTAGTGCTACGAAGGAAGAATAAAATAGGAAAGGGACAGAAGAGTATGGGTATCGGGAAGGAGAAGAGGAAAGGATAATACTTTCTAGTCAGGCTGTTGGAAAGATTTCCTTGATAATTATTTCCACTTATTTTTCTTTAAAATAATTTAATTTTTAAAAACACTCTATAACTCCTATAACTAATGAAAGATTTCAAAAAATATACACACATGGCAAAACCTGTATCTAAATGACTATGGCAGCTGATCATCCAAACAGTCTAACTCTGACACCGTATCATTGCCATCTTCAGGAGAAATCTGAGACCAAACTGATCCTTACCTAACTCTGGCTAGCAACTAGTCCTTAAAACCTGACTGGGCAATGAACAAAGTGAATTATTTCCCAATGTATAGAGTTCCATCAAGAAGTTCAAAGAAAGTCATAATGTAGGAAGAAGAAATAATAACTTGTTGGCTTTAATATTATAGGTATTTGAAGCACTATAAACAATGAATCTCAAACTTATGTTGTAATCTATAGAGTTAAACAGAATTTATAACATTCTGCCATATGAAAATTTCATTCAAAACTGCAATTTTAGGAGTTAAGAATTTAATATTCTAGGTGATTGTGGCAACATGGTTATGATTTTCAAAGACCTTGTCTTTTAGAGATACCTACTGAAGTATTTCTGTATGGAAGGTGAAGAAAACTGAGAGGAAGAAGAGATGAAACAAGTATTGTTATGAGCTAGTAATTGTTTGGTAACAGGTACATGAAGGATGTCATTACATTATTCTCTCAAAATCTGTGTTTTCAAAATGAAAAAGTTAGAGAAAGTCACATTTTTAAACAGTTAATCTTCACCAACCTAATAAATATTAAGCCCAAAGACAGTTGATCTAGTTTTCCAAAGTTGATTACAATATATCCCATTCACCAAACAAAAACAAAATACCTAAAAGAGTAAAGCAAACAAAATAAATAAATTCAGTAGCAGTTATTAATGTGAACTTTGCTACTGATTCAACTGCACATCAATTTTCTTTTTAATGTTGTAGCAAACACTTTGTAGCATTTTAATATGAAGACTGCCAGGGTTCTGAATGATGTTTTAATTAATCTGTTCTTAACTGAATTTACCATTAATGGGACACCGACTACAAACTATTCCTGTTGCCTCTCCTGGCATTACATAATACCGCTGTAGCAATATGTAAAGGTGAAAAACTAGGTTATGAATGTTTATTTCATGTGGTAGGTACCCTAATTTTCTTAAACACTAAAGCAGTCCTCACCCTAAAAAAACACATTATATATGCATGCATGTGTGTATATAGTAGAGGTAGTATTAGAAGAGAAAGAACAAAACTTTAGATTTACAGACAAAATCTGTTCTCACTAAATACTGCACATGATTTTTGATTCCTATATAAACAGGATGAAAGGGGTACCTGACTGGCCCAGTCAGTAGAGCACCTGACTCTTGATCTTGGGGGTCCTTAATTCGGGCCCCATGTTGTGTGTGAATACTATATTAAAAATAAACAGGATTAAAGTTCAAAATATGAATGCTTAGAACAAACACTTACCACTTGTCCATTGTGTGGGTTCTTATGAGCATATGGAGGTCCACGAATATGATTCCACATCTGCCCAGAAGTCATAGCAAAGACTATACACTGAAAAACAGGGTGTAATGTTATAATATGTAAATCAAAGTATATCAGAATTCTGCATCTTTTAAAAATAATGATCACAAAACTAAATTTAAAAAAATCATGTATCACTTCACCCATTAGAATAATTTTTACTTACTAACTATGGGACTTTGGGAATTAATCCCAAATGAAAGAGCAAGATAAAGCCATAGCCAGAGTTATAAGTAATAGGCCTGATGGAAAATTTAAAGCAATAATCATAAGGATACTCACTGGGCTTGAGAAAAGAATAGAAGACATCAAGGAGACCCAAACCACAGAGATGAAGAATACAATGAATGAGATTGGAAACTGGCTTGATGCAATGAACAGCAGGCTAGAAGAAGCAGAGGAACACAAGTAAGTGACCCAGAAGATAAAATAATGAAGCTGAACAGAAGAGAGAAAGAATTATGGAACATGAGAATAGACTTCGGGAACTCAGTGACTCCATCAAACGTAGTAACATAGGAGTCCCAGAACAAGAAAAGAGAAAAGGGAGTAGAATATTTATTTCAAAAAATAATAGCAGAATACTTCACTTATCTTGGGAAGGCAACAGACATCCAGATCCAGGAGGCACAGAGACCTTCTAATCAAAATCAACAAATGCAAGCCAACACCAAGACATAAACTGATATAGAACAAATCTTAAAAGCGGCAAGGTAAAATAAGTCCTTAACTCATAAGATCCATAAGACTAGCTGGAAATTTCTCAGCAGAAATTTAACAGGCCAGAAGACAGTGGCATGATATATTCAACATGCTGGATGGGAAAAATCCACAGCCAAGAATATTCTATGCAGCAAGGCTATCATTCAGAATAGAAGGAGAGATAAGGAATTTCCCAAACAAAAACTAAAGGAGTTCACTGACCATTAAATCAGCCCTGCAAGTAATACTAAAGAGGACTCTTTGACTGGAAAGACCCAAAGTGACAAAGACAAGGAAGGATCAGAGAAATCTCCAGAAATGACAATAAATAAATAAGATCTTACTTTGAATGCAAATGGACTAAAAGTTCAAATTAAAAAACACAGGATGGGCGCCTGAGTGGCTCAGTGGGTTAAAGCCTCTACCTTCAGGTCAGGTCATGATCCCAGGGTCCTGGGATCGAGCCCCACATCGGGCTCTCTGCTCAGCGGGGAGCCTGCTTCCTCCTCTCTCTCTGCCTGCCTCTCCACCTACTTGTAATCTCTGTCAAATAAAAAAATACAATCTTAAAAAAAAAAAACGGTGTCACAATGGATTAAAAATTCAAGACCCATCTATATGCTGCTTCTAAGAGACCAATTTTAGACCTAAAGATACCTGCAGAGTGAAAGTCAGGGGATGGAGAAAAATTTACCATACAAAGGGATCTTGAAAGAAAGTTGGAGTAGCAACTTACCTCAGAAAAACTACACTTTACAGCGATGACCATAACAAGAAGACTAAGAAGGGCACTATATCATAATAAAGGGGACAATCCAACAAGAAGATACAGTAATTGTAAATATTTATGCCCCCAACCTCAGAGCACCCAAATATATAAAACAATAACAAAAAAGAATTGATAATAATAGAGTAATAGGGGAATTTAACATTCCACTTACATCAAGTGACAGATCATCTAAGCAGAAAATATATAAGGAAACAATAGCTTCAAATGACACATTGGACCAGATGGACTTAACAGATATATTCAGAACATTCTATCCCAAAACATTCTTCTCAAGTACACATGGGACATTCTCCAGAGTAGACCACATAACAGGTCACAAATCAGGCTTCAACAAATACAAAATGACAGATCATACCATGTACCCTTTCTGACCAAATGATATGAAACTAGAAGTCAACCACAAGAAAAATTTGGAAAGACCACAAATACATAGAGGTTAAACCACAGGCTACTAAACAATGAATGGGTCAACCAGGAGATCAAAGAAGAAATTTTTAAAAAATACATGGAAAAAATGAAAACAAAACAGTCCAAAATCTTTGGGACACAACAGAAGCAGTCCTAAGCAAAAGTGTATAGCAACACAGGCCTACCTCAAGAAGCAAGAAAAGTCTCAAGCAACTTAACATTACACCCTTTAGGGCTAGAAAAAGAACAACAAAAGAAGATATAGAAACTAAAAAAAAACCCAACCCAATAAACAGACCAGTGGAACCAGGAGCTGGTTCTCTGGAAAAAAAAATCAATAAAATTGATAAACCTTCAGCCAGACTTCGCAAAAAGAGAAAGGACCCAAATAAATAAAATCACAAATGAGAAAGAAGAAATAACAACCATTACCACAGAAATACATACAAGAGAATATTATGAGCAATTATATGCCAACAAATTAGATTATCTGGAAAAAATGGAGGCACTCCGAGAAATATTTAAACTACCAAAACTGAAACAGGAAGAAATAGAAAACTTGAACAGACTAATAACCTGCAAAGACACTGAATTAGGAATCCAAAAACTCTCAACAAACAAAAAGGCCAGGACCAGATGGCTGCAGAGGTGAATTCTACCAATGCTTCAAGGAGAGTTAATACCCATTGTTCTCAAACTGTATCAAAAAAATAGAAAACTTCCAAAGTCATGCTATGCGGCCAGCATTACCCTAATACCAAAACCAGATAAAGACTATAGTAAAAAAAAGAGGGGTGCCTGGGTGGCTCAGTTGGTTACGCAACTGACTCTTGATTTCAGCTCAGGGCATGATCTCAAAAGAAGTTGGCTTCAGATTCTCTCTTTTGCTTTCCCTCTCTTTCTCCTCCCTCTGCCCCTCCCCATTCACACACACTCTCTCAAATTAAAAAATAATAAATAAAAAAATCTTTTTTAAAAGGGGGAGAGGTGAGGACTAGAGGAAGAGGAGAGAGAGAATCTGAAGCAGTCTCTGTCTCACATCCTCGAGATCATGACCTGAGCTGAAATCAAGAGTCAAACACCCAACTGACTGAGACACCTAGGTGTCCCCTATTATATACTTATTCTTAAAATTAGCTACAGAAAATACCTTACCAGTACTGTACTGTATTTATCAAAAATAATCTGCATATAAACGGACCCACACAATTCAAACCTGATTTGTTCAAAGGTCAACTATATTCACTTTACAGTAAAGACTAAAAATATCCTGTTTTATATAATCCTCTCTACAGTCCATGTCCTTACAATGTTATATTACAAATAATTTAATGACTTCTTCACTTTAATTACCAGAGTAACAAGAGACAACCACATCAGAAAATTCATACACTATTCATTTCTACTAATCATAAGTGACTTTATTTGTAGTAAATTTATAGTATAACCATTATTTCCTATCACTCAGTCTATACACTGCACTTGAAAGAAAAAAAGGTAGGAAGTATCCTTCTTGAGACTAAATATTTTATTTCATGGAAAGGAGTTACACACTGAACATAACTGTCTCAACAAGTATTACTTATAACCACCACTGAGTTGGATTAAGGTTAGCAGTGAGTGGCATGGAGTACAGAAGCTAGACAGTCATTCCAAGTATTGGATCTTCATAGTGAGGTTTATTTAATTACGACTTTATAACAAGCAAAAGACTCGGGCAACCACACAACATTAAAAAAGAAAGAAAAAGGAGGTCCATTCATGTATGAGTAGTTTTAAGATGTTCTTTTAATTACTGAGGTTACTGTCTGTCTTCATTACACAAAATTAGGAACTACATTAAGAAAATGGTACCCTAAAAATATATGAAATCTTTTCATTATATTCTTGCCATAGTCCTAACACAAAAATATACATGAGGCTATATACAGAAACTACCAATTTGCAAACAGACATACCCATCTTTAAATGACTCCAAGTTAAAAAAAGCAGTTGCTTCACTGAAAAAAACATTAGCAGCACTTACCTGCTTCTCACTTATAAAGAAAACAAAGTAAAGAAAAAAAAAAGCCCACAGAGATAGTACGTGCATAATATTAGAAGTTACATAATTTCAAATAAATTTGGAAAGGTAATCATTCTGATGTGAGAGCCGCCTTCAGTTTTGAATGGTCACAAGAAATACATTTCAAATGATACAACACAATATGCAGACACCAAAGAACCCTTCAGGCATGTGAAACTCATGTAATAGTTTGTATTAATTTCAAGCTTAAATTTGTCACAAAACTTAATTAAACTGATCTAATTTCTTTGAGACAGAAGACACATTAAGGTATGTGAATCATCTTACAATATAGATCATCAGTGTTAAAAGGCAGAAAACTGCTTCTGTCCTACTAAGATTTACTGTGATAATAAAGTTTGGGTTATTAGATTTTTTAAAAAATGATGTTTATATTTCACGTTTTTAATTGCAACTTCTTAGGATATTTTTCTTTGCATGTGAAATGACTATAAGTATCACACTTATATTTCTGCTCTGAAATGACAGCCATCTATGAAGAGCTTTAGGCTGCCATGAAGATCTGTGCTAAGGGCTACAAAACATTTTAACTCATTTTGATATTCCAAGCCAACATTTATTTCTGAAAACTATAAACTATAGATTTATATTATACTCCTTAAAATTATGTAGCGGTGTAGTTCAATATTTTACCCAGCCATTCTATTTTAAACTCATCATAAAACAGGTAATGTGTAAGCTTATTGTTTATCATCCTTCTTCTTTCAGGGATGGAGGAAGGGAAAATGGAGTAAAACCAGAATCAATGCTTATTCAGCTCTATAAACAATTACCACCACTTATAAACAGGAGTTAATAGCATTTTTTTTCAAGACCAGGAGGAACTTATGAATACTCCTTTACCTAATTTTTTTTTTAAACTCAGAATCAGGAAGCTCTAATATACTTTTTAAATATTTGCATATCTTCCTCCATATAAGGAAATTGCAAACTTTGTCTCTAATCTATACCCTAAAGCTCTATGAACAGCTTCCTATCTCCAGGAAACACCACATTCTCAGCCTGTGAGTCACATACCATAATATGAATAATGAAAAGAAAAAA